TTTCTGGCCCTGTATAATTCACATTACTTTTTGGTTTATACTGCACACAGTAGTGAATCCAGTTCTGATTGTATTACAGGAAAACAAGGCTTGCATTTGTTGGTACAGATTTAATTGGCAGCTTTCCCCTGTTCTTTCAAGGAGGGCAGTGGATTAAGCAAGCAGAACATTACTATGCATGGACATAGACATCAAGAAGCAGTTTCACACAGTTGCTTTTGGCAGGCAATTACACATCTTATAATCAATGTTTCATGGTTCTTTTTTTCAATCAGTACAAGTCCACAAGTCTTGTCGATTCAAGCAAATCTAGAAAAAAATTCCCAGGGCTGGACTAGCATACAGCTGTGCAATGTTCCCAGCTGCTGTATTACTGGAATATTTACTCCATAATAAAGCCACAAGGTTAATATAAAAATGAAACATCTCACAACAGTTTGTGTAACAGGCCCCAGTTTTGAAAAGCACTAAAGCAGCTGTTTAAAATTTTAGCACATTTAAATCCATTCATATTCAACAAATCTTTTAGGGACGTGTCTAAGTACTTTGCTGAATTGGGCCCAAAAGGCTTATATGATGGGGATTTCTGGAGCAGCAGGAAGAAAGTGAATCTGATGAATCACTTCCTAGCATCTTGCAGTCATTTATTCCCGTGCAAAGTGGATGTAAAAGGCCACGGTTTTAGAATGGTTGCCTTTTGCAGCCTCTGTGCACAGATATCAATGACTGTAGCAGGTGCAAAACAGGGCAGAATCAGGCTGCATGCTATCTCCGTTCCTGACAGTAGCTATCTGCTTGTGATTGTGAGAGAATGATGAGCCAAATTCAGACTGATGTAAGAAGTTGCCAGTTCTGAATTTGACCCTAATATAATTCACCTTTCTAGACAAAAATAAAGCTCAGGGAAAGTGGAATATAATATGTTTTTCTATTTATGTACAAATGTGTATTCAGGATAAAGTCTGTGATAATTAAATACATGATAGTAAAATGAATAACTAATTTTTCTTAATCGTGACTGTACGTAGCAGAGAGCGTAAGTCCGGCTACAACCTCTGAGAAGCTAAGGTACAGCCAGTATTAAGCTAGGCACCAAGGACGCTTTTCTAAAATACTGAGTATTTATTATGAGCGGTGGGATATCTGCACTTTGGCTGGCTTCCCTGTAGTATAGAACTGACAACATTACTATTTGCAAACACAGGCTTCACTCAAGTGGCACTAAAAAGAGAAGAGGTGGGGCAAGCAGAGCTTTAAAGAGGAATGGGGAGTCATTCCAAGTTTGTATATAAAGAGAAACTATGTTTTAGGGGGAATAATACCTATAGATATTTACCGCCCAACCCATTTACAGTCCGTGGTGGACAGTTTCACAGCTTTTCTGTGTTTAAGATTTATTTCACAGCTTTACTTGTGGCAAGGAAATTTGATGTGATCCTTGTGAGCTTTGCTTTTAAGCTGAGTTAAATTTGTGGCAAGGGTGTCAGGCATTTCATACGTGGCTTAGAAAAAAAAAGAAAGAAGAAAGAGAGAGTGTGTGAGAGAGAAAAAACATTGTGTGTGTGTGTGTGTGTGTGTGTGTGTGGAAGAAATCTTGCTGGAATTCCCTCAAAGGTTCTAGTAGGGACAAGAAAAGCAAGACTGGGGGATAAAACTATGGGGCTGTGAAAAGATGTCCCATTGCATAAAGCAGGCTGTTGTAGAAACACTCTGGGAATACACATGTTCATCTTGTCCTGGATATGACTGAGTACAAGGAAGTTGCTCTCTATTGACTGTTCAAAAAGTAGAAGATTATGTTTCTCGTACTTACAGTTTTTTTGCCAGTGGTTTTCAAAATTGGTTTTGTTAGCCTCTCAGTTTTACAGCATTGGAACTGTCCCAAGGGATACCGATTGGGGAATGAAAACTCGACTTGTATAGGTAAGTAATTGACTTTTACTTTAGACCATTGAAATGTTAAAGTAAGCTACATTTTCCCCCTCTTACCTGAATTTCATGTGCTTTTGACTTTTACATAATGCACCTGTGTAACTAGGATTGGTGGGATAAATAAACTTTCCCGTATTTTTTGTTTCCCACAACGAACAGGAGTGCTATTCTTTTATTTTTATACCAAAGCTAACTAATGACAATTTAGCTACCTGAAAGTAAATCTCCAAGAGAAAGATTAATATGACTAATAAAGTGATTTGAACTGTCCCCTGGTTACTCCTGTTCTGTTTTTGTGTGTGTCTTATTGCTTTCATATAAATAAATTTTGTCTTTATATGTATCATTCTGTGTACACACACACACAGAGGTTTTTTAATTCATCTAGCATATATCTACCTGTATATCTCATGCTATATGAATCAAGATCCTATTTAAAATTATGTTATTGTAAAAAGCACAGGTAAAACAGATGCCATAATAACATTAGTTTAATCGTGGTGTTTTGGATTTGTGTTTAAAAATACAGATTTATGCACTGGAAACCTTTCTTCTGACAGCCTGCAGTTACGGACAGAACTTTAAGATTGTGGAAAGGCAGAGCAATGATGTATTGGGCTATACAGTGAGGGAGAAAAAATGCTGGAAGTTTTCAAGGAGGGAATCCTGATATTAGAAGCCAACTTTTCCCCTTGGTTTTCTAGTGTGTCAGAAGCTCTGGCTCAGTTCTTGACAGGATTCCAGTGATTTAATAACTTGTGCTTCTTGGTATGTTCTGCCAAGAAATAGCAACTTGTAAACAGAAAACAAAAGCATGCATGCTAAATGTTTTACTGCTAAGCAAAAGGACATACAAGTACAAGGCATACAAATGATAAATTTACCTGAAGCCTTTTCAGTGACTAAGGTGCATTTTATTACTCTTTTGGGTCATATTCAGGACAATATAATGTCTAAACACCTTATTGTGTCCTCGCATGAGAACAACCCCATTGAACCGAAGGTGATATTCTGGACATAATTTAGAGCAGACTTTGATCACTGGAAGAACCACTGAAGTTTAGAAGTCTATAAAGATGCATTCTTTCTTCTTTTCCTTGCAATTGACTCTGTTGCATCTTTATATTGCACATCTTAATCTCCAGAAGAGTGCTTGTCTCTTTTTCTACAGAGAATGAGACACACTCTATTCTATTTTCCATACTGTACTTGGTGAAATTTCTTTTTTTTAAACACCTACTCGTCACCAGAACAGCTAGCCAGTAGCTTAGCAAAACACTGTAGAGATAGTCATACAATCTGTAGCTATAACCTGGAAGAAGTATGTATTTTGTGCAGTAGCTAAGCCTGCTAAGCTATTAGGTTAAGTAGATAATGTAATCACAGGTATTGCTTGATGCCAAGTAACCTGGTGCTGTGTGGAGTAAATGGAAATTGAAATGAAATGGGCTGGAATGTGCCCTCAGAGCCTTCTGAAGTTGCATGGCTGTTATTGAGGGCAGAATTTGGCACAGCGCTTGGCATTGATTCCAATGGAATGGCTTTTGATCTTCTAAATCCCTCTCTTAATTCTCTTCTGCCCCAGGATTTTGCTTGTATGACTGTAGACTTATTAATGTTTGAGTCCCTTTAATAATTGCATGAAGCCAAGTAGCAAATATACAGCAAAGGCTGTGCAAATGCATCCCAGGAACCCGAAGGCAGATGCTGAAGGCAAGGGAGGGAACACATGTGGAGAGTGAGTCTCATGATCATACTGGCAAACTGTGAACAATGACAATGCTGCATAGTGCTTGACAAACATCCTTGTCATCCATGGATCATAACAAATATACCGATTATTAATCAGTGCTCCTGACATTGTCTGTTTCCCTGTTAGTGTATCAGCATCACGTCAGCCATAAAGGCCTTTACCAAAAGGTCACAACTCTCTGATTTAGTGCTTTTTTTGCAACAGCTTTCTTTCTCCGAAATAACACAGGTTTTTCTAGATTTGTTAAATATTATTACTACTGATTCAGGGCTAGCGTGTGAAAGCCTTATTCCTATGGAGGAGTAAATTTATTCCTTGAATTGTTTCACTGCTTTCAAGGGATATTCAAAGACCAAGATGCTACTTAGCATAAAATTTTCATAAATCTGGCATTAAATATTTTAAAATAGCTTAGTAGGGCTATTTATTTGAATCCTGGGTTGGTGGACAAAACCCACCACATCAGTGAATGGCCCTGTGCCCTCAAATGAGGGAGGAGCCACAGAGCAGAGAACTCCACAGATTAAGGAATAAGGAATAATAATAATAATTAATTAATAATAATAAATAATAAAAACAGAACACAGTCAGGGAGACCAAAAACAAGTGCTTATTTAGTCACTGGACCAAATTTTCTCCACTATAGGGAAGGAGGAAGTTGTTATATATTTTATGCTATTATAAAGTTATAACATTTACAAAATGTTGATGATTTTGGGCCTTGAACACTAGTACATAGAGAACCCTTAATCAGATTGTAAGACTTGGTGACCACTTGGTCAGTCATCTCTCTTTCTCATAGACCTTAGTGAGTACCTGTAAACCGTCACCTATACAGGAAAAGTATTTTCAGTCATTCAGGCATTGTGCTTCTTCATACCAGTCAGAATGCATACCCAATGTCAGATTTCTAGAGGAGCTTTATTTTCCAGCCCAGTAGACAATTATTTACCTGCATCATTTATATTTTTGAAAGAAAATATGCTACGACATATACTACTGCAGTTGTTTGCTTATGGTGAATAACTTTCCTCCAGCCACGCTAGTTAAACAGTTCACCTTCATAATGCATGGGAATCTTGAAAATATTCAAAAAAGATATCTTCCCCAGAGGTCTGATACAAAGTTTATTGACGTCAACTGAAGGACTCCCGCTGATTTCAGTGCACTTTGCATGAGGCTTGATATGAATAAATGCCATCTGTAAGGATCAAAATTTAGAGCAACCTTGAAAATGAGGCATGAACTAAAAGCAACCAGGGAATATTGGAACCTTAATATCACATCTCACGTAGGGTCAACTCACATTGACTTCAGTGATAACATTTCTTGTCTAAAGGAAATTTGGTTGGTGTTTTGTTAGGGACAGGTCAGTCTGACTGATATAATATACCCTATAACAGTACAGACTCACTAAATTGGCCACTGATGGCTGCACTGTTGACCCTGGCATTCCATTAGGGTTCGAGGAGTAAGGGAAGTTGACTAGAGAGTTTCTCCCATTGAACGTCCCGCAGTGGGGACTCCACAGAAAGTTGACTTAAGGTATGTCGATTACAGCTACACTATTCTCATAGCTGGAGTTGTGTATCTTAAGTTGACTTTTTCCGGTAGTGCAGACCTGGCCTCAGATTAGCACATCAATTTCTGCTGCTACTTTGTATAGTGTAAGTGCATTTTCTTTTTCATTTCTTGCTCTCCTTTGGCCTGGACACGGTACAGTTTTAGTCTAAAAGGTCACCACAGGTATTTTCTTCGTCCTTCAAAAGAATTTGTTTGTGTTTTTTGATAAAATTGTGGTGACCAGACATAATGGGCTGAATCAATCTCTGGTGTAACTCCTACAGGAACCAAACTTGAGCGAGGTTGCATTTGTAAATAGATGAAGACAGACTCTGACTCACTGCCTTCACACACATTGCTTCTCTGCCTCCCTGCCAAGCATGTTAACACGCCACCTTTAGAGCATTTCTCAGGACCCTCAATAAACAAGAATAGTTGTGTAGAAGGGCATTGAGGACTGCCAGCATCACGATGACATGATTCATCGTTTTCACTGCTTCTCAAGGCATTCTCTGCATAAAGAAGTCTTTGAGTGCAAAGCAGCACCTCATTCTTCTCTTCAGAGCTGCCTGCCAGAGCACTGCCAACAGCCTTTGTGTTCACTAAGCCGATTTCTTTCACAGGGAACAGTTCTCATTAGTTGTTGCTGGGATACGTAAAGCAGCTCCAGCCAGATGGCAGCTGCACTTCCGTTTGGCACAAATAGCGCAGGTGAAGGAGAATACTTAGGTTGCACCTGGTGGGCAGCTTTATCATCAGTTTCTCCCACAATATAAGAAATAGCATTTTTACTACGTATAGCTGGAGTTGTTTACTACTTATACTTTGCACAGAGAGGAGTGACTGTATTCAGTATTGGACTATCGTCCACTGTTACATACCTAGAGACCCAATATATTCAGTAGTACCCCTGTGTACAGTTGGAGCCTCATCTTTTGCAGCTATAATAAATGTTTTCTGATAGCAGAAGTGGGTTATCAACATGCCTGTGATTTTATCTTTGACAGTTATTCTTTAACTGTCTCGTGCTTTTGTTAAGGTGCTTGATCACTTACCTGTGTGGGGGGAGTGGGGAGAGGGGATTTTCTTTTTCATGTGAACTTTGGTGGCAATGAAAGGCACCAGATTGACAGCCCTAAATACCGAAATTTCTGGTCCAGCTATAAAACAAATAGAAGAGAGGCAGCATAAGCTTCCTCACCCAGCCAGTGTCCCCTTGTCTGGAGGAACTTTTCATAGATTCATTGAAGGCTGGTGGCACCAGTGGATAATCTAGTCTGGCCTCTTGTGTAACACAGGCTATTTCCCTTCATCCATTTATCCCTTCTTTTGAGCCTAACAACTCATGTCTGATTAAAATACATCTTCCAGAAAGGTCTTCAGTCTGGATATAAAGATGTCAGCAGAAGGAGAATACATCACTTCCCATGATAGTTTTTTTTCAATGATTAATCTCTCTCTCTCTCTCTCTCAAAAAAAAAAAAAAAGGTGTCTAATTTCTAATTTTAATTAGTCTTGCTCACCTTCCAGCATTTGGTTCATTTCTCTGCTATAGCTAAATACTCCTGCAGGCCATTGATGTTCTAGTTTCTGCAGATGGGATCTATACACATTCTTGCACAAAAAGCTAACAGTGTAGACGTAGCCTGAGAATAACTGGCTATGTGTTAGCACT